CAGTCCTGGGCCGCAGTCTGGCTCACAGGCCCCGGGCACCCCAGCCTTCCTGATTTCTCAGTGTGCCAGTGTGACTCCTCACCTGTACCTGAGCCTTGGCGCAGCTGGAGGAAGTTCCCCAGGACCACAGATCTGTCCCATGGCTCGTTTAATCTTGATCAATGACCTGAGGATCAATGACCTTGATCAATGAGGAACTGAGGCACAGTTCCTCATCCTCCTTATCCTTCCTTTCTCCAAACCCCTTTCACCAGCCCCCATCCTGCCCTGCAGAGATGATGATGTTCCCTGCTCTGTCTCAGACTCCACCTGTCCTTCCTGCTGCCCTCTGTGTGACATGGGTGATGCGATCTGCCTTTCCCTCCTGACCACCTTCAGCATCTGACCACTTCTTGCTTCTTGTCCTTTGTCATAGCCAGATTTTTCGCTCGGCTGCCTCCTTCCCAGGTGTTTAATACGCTTCTCTCTCTCCGTGCTCCCTCCTCCACTGCCCATGTTGCCAATGGAATGTTGTACCCTGAAGGCCGTGTCTTATATCTGCACTGTGCACACTAGTAGCTACTAACCACCTGTGGCTGTGGAACCCTCAAGCTGTGACTAGGAGTGGAGTTTCATATTTTATTTTAGTTGACTAAACAGTAGCTCTGCCAGGTGCAGTGAGCCACATCTGTAATCCCAGCAACTCAGAAGGCTGAGGCAGGAGGGTCACAAATTCAAGGCCAGCCTTAAAATTTAGCAAGGCCCTAAGCAACTTAGTGAAACCCTGTCTCAAAATAGAAAAGGGCTGGGGATGTGTCTCAGACACTTGAGGGTGGTGTGACTCACAGAACTTCCCATGTCTAAAGGGGCCTTCCCTCAGGTATTTGTTGTGAATATTGGGACTACACTAAAGGAGATGTGGTCCCCTATTTTAGGGCTTGGAAAGAGGCTGGGCAAGGACAGCAGGGCTGGGGTGTGGCTCAACTGTGGAGCACTTGCCCTGCATGCATGAGGTCCTAGATTCCATCCCCAGCCCCACCAACACCCGCACCTCCAAATAATTAAAAATTTTTTAAAAAGTATTTTGGCAGAGGAGGAGTACCAACTAGAGGGTCATCGTCAAAATGGAAGGACAGGAGTGCTTGGCGCCAAGGCACTGGTGACATTTGCATGTTGAGCAGCAGGCTGTGTGGACAGGTCCATGGGCTGTGGACCCATGGGATTGCAGACCTGAGTGCTCTCATTTCTTCCCAAAGCCACGTGAGGGGTCGTATGAGAGCAGCAAGACTCTCATCTCCAGTCCCCTTACCCATCTGGCTAGCTGGTCAGTGCATGGGAGATGTGCAGGAGGTGGACCGTACAGGGGGCACCTGAGCTGTCTCCAGTACCTGTGCCAGGGGGGCACTGAGGAGTCTGTGTGGAAGGAGAGGTTTAAGTAGAGGCGTGATCTCCCTTGGTAGGTGGCATAGGCCTCCCTGTTTATATATATATATATATATAGTGGTGCTGAGGATTGAACCCAGTGCCTCACGCATGCTAGGCAAGCACTCTACCGCTAAGCCACGACCCCAGCCCCTCTACTGTCCATCTTTTAAGACTTCACCTGAGCCTGTGCTGTGGTGTATGCCTGTAATCCCAGTGACTTGGAAGGATGAGGCAGGAGGATCACAAGTTCAAGGATAGCCTCAGCAACTTAGTGAGACCATGTCTCTCAATACAAAAATGGTTGAGGATGCAGCTCAGTGGTTAATCACCCTGGTTCACTCTCTAGGACCCCCATCACCCCCCCCCCCAAAAAAACGATTTTTGCCTAAAGCAGCTGCTCAGGCTGACAGAGGAGAATAGAAACTAGAACAGGGGTCTCTCCCCAACAGTGTCCTGCTGGCTCTGATTCTTATTAGCATCCTGTCCTGTACCTCCATTTCTTGATTTGATTTTTAGACAAAAGGTGAACGTGAGGTCCTCTTGTGACTTCCTCCTTCAGTGACACTTAGGCTACTACTTGGGGGCTATCTTGCAGGCTGAGTCCTCAACACCCCCCTCTCCTTGCGCCATTGCTGGAGGCACCATCCACTGACCCAACTTGACCCCCATCTCCTTCCTCCTCCTTCCTGTACACTTTTGGGGACAGGAGCATCTGCTCTGTAACCATGGTCAAGTCTCCTTTTGTCCGTCTGGGTCTGCAAAGGTGAAGGGACAGTGGCCACCTGCAGGACTGGGGTGGTGGGGTCATTCCGGAGTCCCTGGACTGCTGTGGTCCATTTTCTTCTCAGGCTTCCTTGCCCCTGGAGTCCCCCACT